AAGCCCAACAATAATTTATTTTAATCAAAACAAATTTGATTAATTGATTGTTTATTCATTAATAATTCTAGTGTATATTTTGGGGCGTTACAAGTACTCCCTCCACTATTAAATGAACTTGTTTCTTTACTTTTCTTGATAGAAAATAATTATGTGGTTTAAAAAACTTCTTAGGCTTATTTGCTTGTTTTGTTTTGCATTTGGTTAACACTGAATTAAGAATTATATCTTAAGGGTACTAATTATAATATAATTAGATAAGGACCATTTAATATATATACACCATGCATGTTTTCATGCATGCATGTGGCTGTTGCGTGTTGGCATGTCCTAATCCTTGTAGCTGGGTTAAACTAATTCTTGCATGATACTTTCTTCAAATTTATTTTTCCATTATATTTTATTTGTTCACTAAATTATGAATAATATTAGTTTTATTTTTTATCCTTGCAAAATTTGAATTTTATGATCTAAGTTTATTATAATTGGGCGAATATATATTACTCTCACCATCCCATAAGATCTTTCCTGTTTGGAAAAAAATGTCTCTAAAATGAATAATTTTAGTGTTATTTTTAATTATATATGGTTCATCTATCAAACACATCACATCTTACTCTATTACAATGTTTTTAATTAGTATTAAAATTTATAAATTTTATTTATTAATTCTACATCAATATAAGCTTTATATAATTTGAATTAAAAACAATTCCATTTAAACACCGTAATCTGAAACTAGAACATTATTATGAGAAGGGAGTATTCGATGCATGAAAAACAAAAAATACAATGTATAAATATAAATACAAATAATTGATCATATATTTAAAGTTTTCACACATGCATGTCACATTGACTACTATAATCTTTTAATAATCCTACACACACACACACACACGGAGTATTATATTACAGGAATACAAATGATAAAAAACATTTGAAAAATAATTGATACGGAGTATTATTCTACATAGTTGAGTATTTTAATGTTATTGAATGTCATTAAACAAGTTTTTTTCATATATTTACAATAATTTTAAAGTTGTTAGGTACGTGTATCATATCTCATAAGACTGTTTTTTTTAAACGCAACACAATTTTTAATTATTTACATCAAAAAATTAAAAATGTAATGAAATCACAAAACCCGAAACCGACTATCCAATGACTTACAGAGTTTATTCATTTACAAAATTGTATCAAATCAAACTTTAATTTTATTTTCCATCCCATCTTTAATTTTGGGTAAAACCAAATTAAGAAAATACAGTTTTGATTATCAAATTGTACCGATTCATCTTAGAATATACGGAGTATAGTTTTGATTATCAAATTTTTATAATATTTATTTAATTTAAATCATATTTAAATTGTGATTTAAGAGTATCAGTCTTTAAATTATATTTAAATTGTGATTTAAGACTGAATCATCACTTTTGGGATGAGATATATACTTACATTTACCTGCACATATGCATTAGTCCAACCCATTTAACATTGATGAGCTCCCAACTTACATGCGCATTTAATTTCTCTCATACTCTCTAATTAATACTCTCTTCGTATCTTTAAACCCTTCCCATTTTGACTTTGAGCAAAAATAAAGAAAGTGTAATTTTAGTAGATTTTTCAATTTTACCCCTGATGTGATGGTAAAAGTAAGATGTGATAGCTTGGTTATTAGTGAAAAAGTATAATGTGATATGTAGGATATAAAAAAATATGGATAAAAGTAGTTTTTTAATAGATATTGGAAATGTTTTTAGGGAATTGAAAAAAATGAAAGGGAAGAGTTTTATGGAACGGAGGGAGTAATTCTTTCGTTCCTGATGGTGTAAAACCAATGCAATAATAAGTCACGAAAAGAGAAGTTATAGGTGAGAATACATGTAACCCGGTTAGTTAATAATACTATCGGGACTCTTTACAAGTTTACCAGTCGTGTAGATTATAAAAACATGTCTTCTTAATGAGGCTTATTCTCCTATTTATAAGAATAAACAAGCACGTCTCATTGTTACTGTTCATCTCAAGTCATTCGCCCGGCCAGTCTTCCTGCCTTCTGCGATTCTGCGAATGAAGTCGCTATCTCTCAGTTCTGACCCCTAACATCCTCCCGGTCAGACTACCGGGGTTGGCCAGGTCTTGAGGGGCCAGATTTAGGTACGTCCCGAGCGGTTGCAAACCTGCCGGGTGGTATCAATGGGTCATACCCATCAGTTCTATAAAACTCTTTTGTTTGAAAAAGGGCGCGCCCCTAAAATGTGTAACTTTGGTGTTATTTTCTAATTTTATCCTTATTTTATACTCCCTCCGTTCCATGAAACATGGGATGTTTTGCTTTTTGAAGAGATTTAAGGAAGTGTATTTTGGTATTAAATTTCCAAAAATTTCTTTTGATGTGATGGGTAAAAGTAGGATTTGATGGATAAATTATTAGTAAAAAGGTATGATGTGATAGATAGGGTATGAAAAAGTAATAAGAGGTAAAAGTGACTTTTTAATAGAGATGAGAAGTGTTTTACAAGACGGATGAAAAAAGAAAAGGGAAATGTTTTATGGAACGGAAGAAGTAATAGAGTACTAGAGTAGATAAGATGTGTAGGATAAATGAATCATAATTAAAAACTAATACCAAAATTACCTATTTTAAAGACTATCTTTTTCAAACATGAACGATTAGAGGTGGCAATCGGATCAAACCGGATCGGTTTCGGATTGGATTTTTTCGGTTCGGATATCTTTTGGTTATATGTTATAATCGGTTCGGTTCGGTTAAATTCCGGTTCGGATTTGATTTCGGTTCTATACATTTTTCGGTTCAGTTCGGTTTCGAGTCGGTTCAGATACAGTTCGGTCATAAATCGGTTCGGATAGATTTCTGTTCGGATACAATTTGAGTCGGATATATTTCGGTTTCGGGTCTAGTTCGGTTCGGATATATTTCAGTTTCGGATCAAATATATTTTTGATATATATTATTTTCTAATTAAAATTTAACTATCCGTGTTTTTTATGTTTTATCACATTTATCAATCTATAATCAATTCAATACCTCATACTCCCTCCGTTTGCAAAAAACTTCCTATTTTGATTTGGATCAAAAATAAGGAAGTGTTAAATTATTGTTGATTTCCAATTTTGCCCTTGATGTGATGGGTAAAAGTAAGATGTGATGGATACATTATTAGAGAAAAAGTATGATGTGATAGGTAGAGTATGAAAAAGTAAGGGTAAAAGTGGTTTTTTAATAGAAAGTGGAAATGTTTTGTTGGAAGTGGAAAAAATGAAAGATGAAGTGTTTTTAGAACGAAGGGAGTATTATTTTATACTCCCTCCGTCCTATAATGATCTTCCCGGTTCGCAAAACGAAGAAAAATCTCAAGTTTTTTCAATCTATTTTATTTAAATATTAGTATAGAAATAAAAAATAAAACATACATATTTAAAAACTACACCAAAAGTTCAACAAAACAAGTGGTGACAAGAATATTTTATTTTATCATATAGGCCATGAAAAAACACAAATAAATATAAATTCTCGTGAAGTTAGAATAGTGCTCTGGGAAAATCATTATAGAACGGAGGGAGTATTTTTTTCTAGTTATATTATCTCTACCCTAAATAGTCTTCCCTTTTTGACTTTTTAGTCATATTTTACTAATTTGGACTACAAATTATGAAAACATATATATTTAATTATGATATAAATTTAATATAATTAAACTGATTTTAAAATTTAGTTTTGAAATATCAAATTTTTCTCACATCTACTAATATACTTATGTATATAAATGAAAGGATAAAAGATAAATTCAAATAGTCTTATGTTCCATTTGAATACAATTTGGTAAAAACTGAGTAAAATTGGGTGAAATTAAGTGAATTTTATTCAATTGAGTGCAAAATTTGTAAATTATTGAGTATATTTGGTTGAAAATAGAGAAAATTAAATTTAATAGAGTCAAATATAATTAATTTTACACCTAAATGTAATTGTGTAGATCAAATTTGAAAATGATAATAGTAAAAGCTACCGCTAGAGAGTCTTTTCAAAATGCTAACACTAGCATCTAATTTTATTAACTAATATTGAGTGAATTGGTTTGAAACTAATCAAATTAACTCTCAAATCAATAAAATTTATTGTAATGAGATGAAATTAGGATAAAATCTAGTTATACCATACAATTCATCATATATTTCTTTCGTTCAAAAAAGAATATCATACTTCACTATTTAAAAATTGCAGAAATTTTATTTGTTTGTGTGTTATCATTTATATGTATAACTTATCTTTAATTTCTACATATAATAAATTTAAGGAATAAAATTTTGTAATTTTTTTCAAGAAGATAATCTATTTTATGAGGAAATGAGCAAGTAATGTAATTAGTTCAAATGGTAAAATAAAAGTAAAAATTTAAAAATATAATATGCTTATTGAAAGGCAAACATAGTTCTGAATTTATCGATTTTAGTTCTAATCGGGTTCGGATATTATCGGTTTCAGATCTAATCGGTTTCGGATTTTATCGGTTTCGGGTATTATCGGGTTCGGATCTAATCGGTTTCAGGTTGAATCGGTTCGGATATTATCGGTTTTGAATCTAATCGGTTTCGGATTTAAATCGGATATGAATTATTTAGTTCGGTTTCGGTTCGATTCGGATCATTTCGGGTTTTCGGTTATAGATCGGATCTTCATTTTTCGGGTCATTCCAGTTTCGGTTTCAGATATTTCGGTCCAAGTAATCGGTTCCGGTTTTGTTTTGTCATGTCTATGAACGATTTTATGGGTAGGGGGAGTATATTCCTCCATATATATATATATATATATATATATATATATATATATATATATATATATATATATATATATATATATATATATATATATATATATATATATATATATATATATATATATATATATATATATATATATATATATATGTCCATGCCTAGCTTCCAGCTCAAAATATTAACTAAAGACGAGATGACGATTACCACAACCACTTTGATATTTTATCTCAAGATTGTGTTCATATCAACCGGCGCAGGGGGTCTAGCCATGGCAATCAAAGCTTGGGTTCCGGTTCTCCTCCACCACCATCTCCCCACCGTCGCCGCCTGTCTCCGGCCACCGTACCTATATGCCGTCATCAACGCGATCATCCTCACCCTTCTTTACGCTTCTCGCTCCCAACACCCCGAAAGCCGCCGTCTTGAAGACGATCATATTATTAAGAGGGTCGATAATCATATCACCGGAGATCGGCCGGTTTTCTCCGCCGTGAACGACGATTCTCCCGTGACAGTGGTCAAGAACCGAGGTGAAGTTTTAATTTTGGCTGTAGTCCGGCAAAAAAGTACTCGATTTTTTTTAAAACTTTCTTAGGCTTTAAGAAAATTTCCATGTTGTGATATACTTCCCCCCTCAAACAAAACATTTCTTGTTTGATTTTCAAGAGATTTAAGAGGAATGTTTTTTAGTATTGACTTTTCAAAAATATTCTTGGATGTGATAGGTAAAAGTAAATGTGATGAACAGATTAATAGTGAAAAATTGTGATGTGATGGGTATATTAAAAATTAGTATGAGTAAAAAATAACTTTTTGATAGAAATGAGAAAGATTTTTTAAGAACAGATCAGATGGAAAAAGAAATGAAAAAAATTTTATGGGACGAAAGAATCGAAGTATTATAATAGAGTTATTAGTATTCAAAAAAATCATCTCATTCTTTCTTTTTTGAGCTCTGTGCTATTTTCTTTGTGTTATAAAATTTTTCATAAATGAAAAAATTTGTATCTTAGAAATGCTTAAAATTTTATATTATGACTCCTTTATCTAACACATCATTTATTACCTTATTATAAAATAAGAGAAAAATTAGAAAACATATTAAAACTATATTCTTAAGGCACACATTTTTCATCTTTAAAAAGTTTTATGAGATTGTGGAAATATAAATGATCTATTATAATGTTATATTTTTTTCATATACAGTCTCCAATTCTACAAAATTACATTTGTTGTTCTGGATATTCGAAAATCACTTCATACTTTGAGTCAAATGACTAATTATGAAGCTATTTTCAAATATAGAGGACCAAGAATTTAGCTTGTGTTTGGATGGAGTGAAATTGGAAGGAAAGAAAAGGTTGGGAGGGAAAATACATTCCCAAAAAATGGAGGAAAATGACTCCCATTCCAAACTAAAAAATTTTCTCCTCTCAATAGGTGAGAAAATTGTTTAGATGGAGAGAAAACTATTGAAATGACACTTTTGCCCTCCATTGCATTCACATTTTAAAAACATAAATATATAATAAGGGTAAAATTGTCTTTTTATTTTAATATATTTTCTTTCCACTTCCATTTTTTCTCCATTTTCTACCTATCCAAACAACATTCATTTTCTTTCCATTTTCTCTCCATTTTATCTTCTCTCCCTTTTCTTTCCACCCAATTTCTCTCATTCCATTTTCTCTTTTTATCCAAACAATGCCTTAAGTTCTTAGAGTTGCGGACAACATATAAAAACATCACGATATGTTTATATATAAGGGTATATATAGAATGTTTAATTTACTCTAAAGAAATGCATCTTCAATCCCCTTAGGTCAATGTATGAAAGATTTGATTTTCAATATTTTTCTTAAATTATGTGAAAGTTAAACAAATAAATTTATTAAAAAAAATGATTGGAGGGAATATATTTTAACACGTCTCCTCGCTTTGTTTTTGCTCCAATATTGTACAGAGTATTTGAAAATTATTCCTCTTTTTAAAATGATATTTGAATAATTGATGACAAACTAATTCAACTTAAAGTTCAAACTTCTATTTATTTGTTCTAATAGGCTGCGAATCTATGGCGCCTACCAAGAAAACGCAGTTCGCCGACGAACGTAAAACGGCGCTGAAACCGAATGCCACTATGGAAGACACGTGGGGGATGATCACGGAGAAGAGCCACGCGCCGCCGCAGCCCCGGAAGGGGCAGCTGAAGTCGCGGACGTTTAAGGAGAGGACGAGCTACGAGTTGCCGGCGGCGGCGAAGTGCCGGAGAGAGCCGTGGCTGAGTCAGGACGAGTTGAACCGGCGAGTGGAAGCGTTCATCAAGAAGTTCAATGAGGAGATGAGGTTGCAGCGGCAGCGGTCTTTGCAGCGGCACATGGAGATGATCAATCATGGGGCCCACTAACTTAGTTTTCGACTCCTTTTTTAAATCAAAAGAAAATCAATTAAAGTGCTAATTTAAGATTTGGAGATGGCTTTTCCTTTTTTTTAAAGTTTCATATTATTAATTATGTATTATATTAAAATACTGAGCATATAAAATATAAAAAAATACATTGCATATACTCCGTATGATTATGTAAAAATATATTCGGTATAAAATATATATACAATACAGAGTATATAAATTTGTGTATGTGTATAAAAATATTTTTTTATTAAAATATTATATATGTGTGTGTGTATGTGTGTGTACCTCTTCTGTGTTTGACTATTCGTCTATGTTTAACTATTTTGAGTTAAATCATATGGACTTTTATCATCAACTACATTAAATTGGTACTATTGTATATTATTGATAAAATGACATAAATTTTGCAAGTATTTCTGTAAGATAAATCTAGTAAAATTGTTTCTGTACTAATATGTAATGAGTATGATTTTTATTTAATTAATGATTAAAATTTATGCATTACAATTAACAAAATAAAACTGGATGAGTATCAAGAGAGGTGGAGAGGTCATTCTTTGATATTTACAAGGGCTCCATGTTAAACGTAGTTGGCCTTGATCTCATTTTTAGAATTCGAATCAAGACGTCACTTTTTTATATCAAAAATACACTAATTTTTTTCTCATAAAAACCCTTGTTAGAAAATAGTTTTTGTGATTAACGTTAGCACTTTATAAAAAAGATTTAATGGATGATATAAATTGATTTTTAAGCTCTTAAAAGTATACAGTGTAGCTGGACTCTAACTCTTAAGGTTGTTCCCAAACGGCCAAACATGTGGGTATAAAAGCTTTTTTAAATGACAAACTATGGTGCTCCCGTACAAGTAGAGTGAAAAAGAAGCTAATTAACATTACTCTATCTTTTGGGTTTGTAAAGTTATGATTTGATATGTTTATTGGTGTCTTGTTGTTTACTCATTATAATAAAAAAGAATGGCACTCCATCCCCGAAAGCCCCTGAAAATGACCACACAGTTAGCTAAGATTAAGAAGAGGTAAATTGAACTATAATCTAAATCAGTTGACGTATAAGGGTGGGATTTGCAGCCACCATGGTTCGAGCTCGGGATCGCTCCCTTGTAGCACCCCTATATTAAATTTTAAATTTTAAAATTTTAAATTTAAAACTTAAAATTTAAAATTTAAAATTTTAAGTTTTAAATTTTAAGTTTAAAATTTAAAATTTAAAATTTTAAGTTTAAATTTTAAATTTTAAATTTTAAATTTTAAATTTTAAATTTTAAATTTTAAATTTTAAATTTTAAATTTTAAATTTTAAATTTTAAATTTTAAATTTTAAATTTTAAATTTTAAATTTTAAATTTTAAATTTTAAATTTAAACTTCAAAATTTAAATTCAAAAATTTAAAATTTAAAATTTAAGATATATATTTCAAAGTTTAATATTTAAATTTATTATTTAAAATTTAAGATTTAAAATTAAAGATTTAAAATTTGAAAATTAAAATCTAAGATTTTAAATTGAAAGTTTAAATTTTTTAAATTTAAAACTTAAGATTTAAAATTTAAAGTTCAAAAATTGAAATTTGAAATTCAAAATTATAATTTATAATTAATAATTCAAAAATTCAAATTTTTTTAAAAAAATTAAAAAGTAAAAACTAGAAATTTAAAATAAAAAATTCTTCAAATATATTCTATTGGTGAATCTTACTAAACTCATGAGTTATTTAGAACCGTTGACACAAGCAACTAATGATCAAGTCTTTATAGCCCTATATATATATATATATATATATATATATATATATATATATATATATATATATATATATATATATATATATATATCAATTCTATACACAGTTTTTTACCAAACAAAGAATTTAAAATTATAATAAAATTATATATTAATTTCTTAATTATATCAAACAAAAGATTTGGTGTCATCCAATTTAATTTCGTAGGAATTCAATTCCTTTTCTATGTATGAAACAGAACCTATGTTTTTTTCTTAATGAGATATCAGTATTTTGAATAGATATGTCTCAGAATTAGGACGATTGTGTAAGATAGTTATGCTAGGGCACACAAAGATTTTGACTTTAATTTTTTTCACACATAGAAACTAAAACTTTCACGTACAAATTATTATTATCTATGCGTGTCTGTGAGAAATTTGTTGTCAAATTTTTTATACACCCCAAACATTTTTGTTGTTTACAAATTAAATATAGTTGGTACCTATCGGATTAGAGGATTGATTATGTGTGTATATACTATTACGTGGGGAGGATTAAACTAAGTAGCATGTCACGTCACCTTAATACCACTTGTCTCCTACTTGATATCCAAATCAACACTTGTCAGGTTCATACCATTTGTATTATGCAACTGCACACTTAGGCTTGTATCTTATTAATTAATTAATCCATTCATTCATTGCATCAAACTTATGTTTAATTAGTTTGATGTTATAATCATACCCCTCACATAATTAATTATCTTCACACTTTTTTATTGTATTGGTTCGAAAAAATTTAATTTCTTTGTTTAGAAAACATGCATGGTATGATTTACATTTAAAAATATCAGTTAAAATGTATGTGATTAAACGTAATTATTTTTGTTATCTTTAAAAAATTTGACTCCAAAATCAAAATTAACTTGGAGTGCAATTGAAGGGGATGGAAAGGTGTGTTCAGGTCGGGGCGGGGTGGATTTTACCGGAAGAGTTAGTGAGGTATGAACCGTTAATTTTACGAACGGGGCACCGGAACACCCCCGAGTCATCCATGACATTGTTTCCCAATGTCATGGGAACCAAGAAGATATTTAAGAGGCCTAATTTTGTTTCACCACAAGGTTTATAAGAATAAGTAATAAGGAATAAAAATAAGTTGTTAGTTTTTATTTTTGTCAAAAAAATGAATTTTGTGTATGTCCTTCAAAAAAAATAAGTTTAACTCTCATTGGCAAAAACGAAGCATTCATAAAAATGTAAAAGGCATTTATAAAAATGTCATCTCATGACATGAGATTCCAATGTAATGAAAACCCTACCAAATATAAGAATAATTGTAAATGACTTTAACCAAAATGGGTAAAAATTAGATTTCCTTTTTTATACTTTAAGCACATAAAATTATTTCATCATGTAACTTATAACTCAAAAATATTTTAAACGGATTATGATAGTTTGACCGATTTATATTTTATAAACACAGAGAATCACCTTCTACTCTTTGTTTTCGCAAAATAAGTTCATTGCCAAAAACTTTGATGAATTTTTCTCCAAAAAAAAACTGTGATCAAACTCTTGCAAAAGCTACGCTTTTATTCAAACTCATAACGTTATTGAACATTTATTAGGATCCCGGTGTTACATTTGGATACGATCAATTTTTACAACGCGACATTTCATCGTATCCGTTATTATAATGCGACAGATGTAGACTTGTAGGAAAATTGATGGCATTGCTTCAACTATGGTTAAGCAGCTAAGCAGAAATGTCTAAGGTGCCGCGGGTTCAATCAGTTTTCCTTCTCGTCTACCTTCTCGTGGTTCATTCCAATCTTCTGTTCTTCACTGGCATTTATATTAGCATCATAATCGGAGTGATAGGGCATTCTTCCTCTGGTGCTGGTTTTTGGGAAGCCACGGAGAGGACGATTTCCAGCTGCAGAATCGGAAGGCTGGTCTGGAAATTCCTCTGAGCAAAAATATGGTGGAAATGCAGTTGTTATCAATAAGAACATGAAAACCAAACAAGCGATATTTGAAGAAGGCATTTTGGAAAGGTAAAATAATTAGTTTACTTGTAGACTTAGTAGATGAATGATAAATCAAAAGAAGAAGAAGAGGGATTTTATAGTAGCGGTTCCAAGATGAACGCATTCTTGGTGTGATTTTGAAGCCATGAGTTATCGAGCGGCTTCAATGCCAATGCACCATGCATGACTACTGTGATCAGTGAAGACCAAAATATATGGCTTCAAAATTGGCATTCATTTTGGATGGGAAAATTAGGCACGTGAAACTCTCATGGAGATAGAAAGTAAGTCTAACTCCTAACTCCTAAGACCCACTGGCTGGAACTATTAAATTTAGGGCTCTGAGTCCTATCAAGAACATTCCTTTGAGCATAGTGTAATGTACTCCATCCGTACCAAAAAGAAATTCTCACTTTGCTTTTCTAGTTCGTCCTAAAATGAAAATCTCTTTTTTTCATAAAAAGAAAGGATTAAGTGGCTTACAACATTTCTCTCTTTTCTAAACAAATTTTATCTTTTCTTTTTTACTTTTCAACAACTTCTTAAAACTTCGTGAAGTCAAACCATAACTTTCTTTTGGGAGGGTGGAGTATTAGTTTTATCGTTTGGGAACATTTTATTCTTTTGATGTTTAAGCTAGTGTAGTTAAACTAGCTTGCTCTCATTGAATGCAAGGTTGCAAAAATGGTAGGCAGTTGCTACTTACGGAGTATGTGATTGGAATTTGTTTAGAGGGGAGAAAAAACTTGTGAGCCACATGTTTCTGTTTGTACAAATGAAAAAATAAACTGTGGAGTTTACTTCGGGATAGAACGAGGGTTAGAGGGTATCTTTGTGAACTACTTTGGATCTAAAAAAATTGTGAAGTACTACGTATTTAATGTGACCTTAAGGAAACTGTGTAAACTAGATGTGAAATTTAATGTTTTAATTAAATTAAATTTATTTCTATAGAAGTAATGGACTATCTTTAAGGAGCAGATGGCGTGTGTGTGTTACAAAAAAATGCATATTCCCCGCCAAACATTTTCCTTGTCCCACCAAAGAGGTTGCCTAGCCTGCTATACATCGCCAATTTGTGAAAATCTTTTAGGTTTGCCACTGCTTGGGCTGATTTTCACATTATCGATTGAAAGTTCAAAAGTTTACAATGGTTGAGTCTCAAGTCTTAGCCATTTGGATATAGAACATAGCTAAAATAAGATAACCAAGAGCCAATATGCATATGACCAAAAAAGACAAATTAAGTACCAAAAAAATCTGTATTGATAGAAGTTTACTCACTGTTCAATTTCCAGCCTGGTTCATATTGAGGATCATCTTTGTTTCATCATCTTCGTCAATGTTGT